AGCAGGGAGCAGGGACCTGCTGCGGGCGGGGGGGGGGCAGCAGGGACCTGCTGCGGGGCGGGGGGAGGGGGGGGTCCCACCCTGTTCCCGGGGGGAGGGGGGGGTCCCACCGCACCCTGTTCCTGGGGATGGATGTACCGGTGCCGCCGAAGGGCAGCGAGGTGAGTGTCACGTGCATGATGGTGTCGTTGGCGCAGAAGCCGCCGCTGCTCGTCTGCTCCGGCACCCGGTTCACCGCCTGGGGGGTGAGGGCAGGGGGGTGTTGAGCACCCACCCGGCACCCCTTGTCTGCCTCCTCCCTGCTGCCTGGGGTACACCAGGACACGCGTGGCTGGGGACACGGGGGCTCTCTCCTCCCGTGACCAGGGACAAGGCCAAAGGAGCGGCCCCGACTGGGGAGGGCGCCTGTGGCTATCCAGACCCACGCAGCAGGATGCGACCTAGGCTGAGGGGGATGCTGCGCCCAGCCCGGCTCCGCACCTTCTTGCAGGAGGAGAAGATGTAGAGGGCCAGCAGCCGCTCCTGGGTGTTGATGAAGGTGATGGCGTCGTCCACGCTGGCCACCGTGAGGATGGGCCCAAAGAACTCCTCCTGCATGAGGGGCTCATCCTGCTGCACATCCACCAGCGCCGTGGGGGCTGCGGGGGGAGAGCCGAGCCTGGACTGGCTGGGTGTCACGGGCCGCATCCAGCAGGACCCCCACCCTGCGCTTCTGCCCTCCCGCTGGCAGTACACCCTGCGCCCTCACCGATGTAGCGCGCCTCTGCATCCGTCTGTCCTCCGATGGCCGCGTGCCCGCTGCGCAGCAGCGCCTGCGCCCACTGGAACTGCTTGTCCCCCACGACGCAAGCGAAGTCAGGGGGCTCCCAAGGGTTGGGGCCATAATACTCAGCGATGGCCTCGCGCAGGGCGGGCATCAGCTTCTCCTGCATCTCCACGCTGCACAGCACGTAGTCGGGCGCGATGCAGGTCTGCCCCGCGTTGAAGAAGCGGCCCCAGGCCACCCGCCGGGCCACGTTCTGCACGTCGCAGGTGTCGGACACGTAGCAGGGGTTCTTGCCCCCCAGCTCCAGCGTCACGGGCGTCAGGTGCTTGGCAGCGGCTGCCATCACGATCCTCCCCACGGAGGGGCTGCCTGAGGGCAGGGGGAGCAGCGGGAGCCCAGCGTGGTCAAGACCTCCCAGCGGATCCACACCAGGCTTGCTGGGGCAGCCCCGTGCCTGTCTCCCTGTGTTGAAGAGAGGGATGGGACTGGAGTGTCCCTGTGGGATGTACCGGTGAAGAAGATGTAGTTGAACTTGTTCTCCGGCAGTCTGGTGGTCTCCTCCGCGCCAGCGGTCACCACGGCAAAGCAGTCCTGCTTTGACAGGGAGGGGAGGTGGGAAGTGTGGCACCATAGCCGGGCAGGAGCGGAGAGAGCGCATGGGGGGACGTGGCTCGGCCGAGTAGGTTTGGGACACAGCGGGGCAGGTGTCCCTGGAGAGGGAGATGGCAGCAGCAGAGGGCTCTCCTACCTTGTCCAGGTACCTGGGCAGCGTCTCGGCCACTAACCTCTCCAGGTTCCTGCTGATTTTGGAGGATTTCATGACAACGCAGTTACCTGCAGGACAGGAGCTCCCTCCTGGTAAGGACCTTGCTCTTGGGGAGCAGAAGACCTGCCCCCACTGCAGCCCCACCACCACCACCCCATTCCCACCCCAGGGAGGACACAGGACACCCCCCAGTGAGGGGGCAGCGTCTCGGCCACTAACCTCTCCAGGTTCCTGCTGATTTTGGAGGATTTCATGACAACGCAGTTACCTGCAGGACAGGAGCTCCCTCCTGGTAAGGACCTTGCTCTTGGGGAGCAGAAGACCTGCCCCCACTGCAGCCCCACCACCACCACCCCATTCCCACCCCAGGGAGGACACAGGACACCCCCCAGTGAGGTTCTGGTACCCCCTGGCATGGCAAAGACACAGCCGAGCCTCACCAGCAGCAATGGCCCCGATGAGGGGCACCAGGAGGAGGTTAATGTTAGTTCCAGGGGGCCTGATGATGAGCACCACTCCGTACTAGTCCTTGTGGATGAAGGCCGAGTCCAGCTGCATTGCCTGCGGAGGGAAGGACGGCGTGAGGGACACCTGCCTCCCATCCCGCACGTCCCCAGCCAGCCGCTGCCCCGTACCCAGTTCTTCTCCACCTGCTCGTCCTTCATCCAGGTGCCCAGGTTGTTGAACGTGTGGTTGAGCTCACTCCTGCAAACGGAGATCTCGGAGAGCTCCACTTCAAAGGGCGGCTGGGGATGCAGGAGGACACAGGACACCCCCCAGTGAGGTTCTGGTACCCCCTGGCATGGCAAAGACACAGCCGAGCCTCACCAGCAGCAATGGCCCCGATGAGGGGCACCAGGAGGAGGTTAATGTGGTAGTTCCAGGGCCTGATGATGAGCACCACTCCGTACTAGTCCTTGTGGATGAAGGCCGAGTCCAGCTGCATTGCCTGCGGAGGGAAGGACGGCGTGAGGGACACCTGCCTCCCATCCCGCACGTCCCCAGCCAGCCGCTGCCCCGTACCCAGTTCTTCTCCACCTGCTCGTCCTTCATCCAGGTGCCCAGGTTGTTGAACGTGTGGTTGAGCTCACTCCTGCAAACGGAGATCTCGGAGAGCTCCACTTCAAAGGGCGGCTGGGGATGCACAGGAGGTCATCATGGCCACCACTGTGGGCACAGCCCCGTGGCCACCCCACAATGGTTGTCCTCACAGAGGTCCGCACCAAGTCTCCTGGCAGCCATAGCAGGATGTGACCCTCTCTGCTGGGGCAGACACCCCCAGGGACACCCTGTGGCCTTGCAGTGGCAAGGGTGGGTGGCACAGCCACCCCTCCGGTGTGCCACCCGCGTCACGGCACGCTGCCTGGCCCCATGCCGCTCCATGCCAGCAGGTTCCCGGGACACAGTAGAAGGTCGCGGTTGAAGACATGGATTTGGTATCTCAAGAGCTTCAGCGACACCAGACACGGCACGATGCAGACACAGCTCCGGAGGTGGAGATGGGAACAAGGGCCCCCAATTGCTCTCCATAAAAGCTTCCCTAGAGCTAATTCATCCCGTTGCTGTGCAGCCAGAGCAAGTTGCTGTGTGGTTCCCCACCCCCGGGGGCATCCCCAAAGGCTAAGCTGAAGATAACGGCAAAAACAAAGGCCTCCGCTCCCCTGGTGCAGTGGGCTGACCCCGGCCAGCGACCAAGCACGCACCCGGCCGTTTGCCACTACGCTGCAGCAGGATGGGGAGAGACTCGGAAGAACAAAAGCAAGAGAACTCGGGTCGAGATACAGACAGGTTTATAAATGAAGGAAAGAGGGGGGTGGGTGGGAAAGTCAAGTGATGGAAGGGGAAGCACTCCCCACCAGCCGCCCTGGCCATGGTGGTCTCGCCTTGCCCATGTCCGAGGCGGTGGCCTCCAGGATGTCCTGCTTCTCATCCAGGACGAAGCGACCCAGGGCCTCCAGCTGGGCCACGCGGTACTCCATGGGCCGCGTCTTCCCCGAGA